CTGCATTCTGGACAAGCTGAAGTCTCCGAATGCTCTTCAAGGGCTGCCCCATGTAGAGCACGTTGCAGTAGTAATTCTTGAGCATCATTCTACTGCTGGTCCTTATTAGCTTTGCATGTGTTTTCACCTAAGGTTCTTCTATTGAAGAATTACTCTGTAATTCTTTTGCAGAAAACGGCACAAGTGTTTGTGTTTAAATTGTGCATGGGTTTTCCCTGAGAACCTGTATGTTTGCACTTGTCTGTCCCCTCGTGCATGAGAAGACACGATGGGGATTAAGAGCATTCGAGGCCTCGGAAAGCTAACATGTAGCTGTCACCAAAAGCATGCTTCTTTGTGAAACATTTTTTATGTGCGAAAGAAGGACCAGGAGAGGCATGATAGCAGGGTTCCAATATCTCAGAGGCTACCGCGAAGAAGAGGGGATCAAACTATTCCCCAAAGCACCAGAAGGCAAGACAAGAAGCAATGAATGGAAACTAATCAAGGAGAGAAGCAACTTAGAACAAAGGAGAAATTTCCTGAAAAGACTGGACAGCCACTTTTCTGGAATGGTATAAGTTCCCAAAAGGGCGTGCACAGAAGCAATAGCATGCATGTGCGTGCCCACACCTATAATGCAATACCACCACCCCCACACACATGCGTGCACAATACCCCTCCATGCTGCATCCCACACATGCGTGCAGGCCTCACTGAAGCCTCCAGACTTCCGTTGGGCCCGTTTTTCGCCATCCACAGACTTTGGAGGTTTTCCTGAAGCTTGGGGAGGGTGAAAACAGCCTCCTCTGGTGCTCTGGAAGGCCGAGAATCAGCTGGCCAGTGCGTGCATGTGTGCTGCAGCTGACATAGGACAAGCCTCACATGCCCTCAAGTATGGCTCCGTGTGGCAGATGTGACACGCGTGCCATCGGTTCGCCATCAACGGGTATAGGGTGTCCTGCTCAAGCAGAGGTTAGCCTAGAAAACCTCCAAAGTCCCTTCCAGCTCTGTTATTGCATTCAATGTTTTTTCCTCTGCCAAGTTTCAGAGACCAAGAGTTTCTCTGCTGCCTGGTATTAAGGGAATTTGCTGACTTGGTTTTTTTTCCCCTTTGGAAGAAAATTGGAAAGAAAGAAAACAATCTATGGACGCTTTGTTGAGTTCTTTGGTCATTTTCCAAAAATAAAGAGGATTTAAAACATTGTTTTACATTGACGGGGAAAAAAATAGTGGAGAGAAACCTGGCCATTTTCATCCTTCCAGACAAACCTGGTGATAGATTTAGTTTTAGCATGGAAATTTCAGCAGATTTCTATGGAGGGGAACCAACAGAAAATATCTGCTGAGCATTGATTGG